TCCACATCATAAGGTTCTATTTTTATTTTTTGAGCTCATACAAACCTAGGTTAATGTTTTTCTGATCAGTTTTATTTTTTGACTGTGGAGTTTTTAAACATTGCAATGGAGATTTCACCCAGGTAAAGCTACAAGGCCTTTACTATTTTCTTATGTGTTGTACATTTGTGTGCACTCTTGTGTTTTGTGTTGTATGTCTGTATGTGCGTATGTCCATATTTCTTATATGAGGAGCACTCATGAAAAAATGGATCCGAATTATTATTTTTTTTTTATTCATGTGATTTAAATGGTTTAATTTAAATTAGGTAAATAGCTGTTAAGGATTGTTTTTTAAAGGTGGTTAACAGATCTGTTTGTTTACTAATTTAAATTAGGTAAACAGCTGTTAAGGATTGTTTTTAAAGTAGGTTAGCAGATCTGTTTGTTTACTTTCACCTTTCCTTTTCATTATATTTAATAATTCTTTTCAGGATAATGTCTCTTTAGCATCATTGCCAGAATTCCTATCTTCATCCCAGTGCCGGTGAAGACAAAAATAAAACCAAACTACAGCTTCTATGATAGCTATCACAGTAAACTGTATAAACTGATGCATCAATGAATATAACTCAACAAGTAATGCTCAATCAAGGAGTCAACTTACTTTGGAAGGAAACGGATTTTGGGAGGAAATGGACATATTGATAGATTCCTCCGCTTTGAACTGCTTGCAGAACTTGCCTGGACTCTGTAACTATCGTTTGGTGCAGTGAATTGTGGTAATGCTGGCATATCTTTGCTGATGGTGTCACCAGTGATGCAATTTTTATTTCCTTGCCAGCGCACCCCATGTTAATTGTGGTAGTGCTGGCATATCTTTGCTGATGGTGTCACCAGTGATGCAATTTTTCCCAAGGAGCCGTCAATTGGCTTGGTGTCGTGGCATTTCTGTATCCTCCTCCCTTCTGCTACTGATGGTCTAAAATTTGGGGGCCAATGGCTATATGCTGGACCGGTAGTCAGTGACGGGTATGATCCAATTGCAGTGGTATCAACCTAAGACAGGAGGCTGACGCCCAAAGGTCAGTTTTCCGATGACGGGTAAGAACCATATGTTGAATTGGACAACCTACCAGGCACGGTCCTTAAGCCACATTAACCTCACTCCCCCACTGGCACCAAGGACAAATTTGGGGGCCAACAGAGGTGAGGCAAAGAACCTCACCCCCCCCACTGGTGCATAGACCTATCCACAAGTATGGCTGTATGCTGGACCGGTAGTCAGTGACGGGTATGATCCAATTGCAGTGGTATCAACCTAAGACAGGAGGCTGACGCCTAAAGGTCAGTTTTTCCCATGACGGGTAAGAACCATATGTTGAATTGGACAATCTACCAGGCACGGTCCTTAAGCCACATTGCTTGTTGTTTAATTAATCAGAAGGGGGGAGATGCTGGGAGCCATTAGCCAAGTAGGTATGACAATTTCCTTGCCAGCGTACCCCATGTTGCTTAGTGGAAGGACTCGTGGAAATAGGACATTTTGCAGTGACATTGCATGTAGGTGACCTTGCTCAAGGACCAAGGCGGATCCGGGTTTAGGGCGTTCCCGGTTTAGGACTATCCGGGTTTAGGGTGGTTCCAGGTTTAAGGTTATTCCTGCTGGGAATAGGGCGTATCCTGCTGCCTGAGTTCCCCTTGAGTTCTCATGGGATTCAGACAGTATTTTTTGGAAGACAGAAGCCCAGTGGGGGTGGATTTGGGCAGAGAACGTGGATTTCCCCAGAATGTGATTGTAGATGGCTGGTGTGAGTTCAGGAATAAACAGTTGCTGTTTGAATCTACAAGCCGTGTGGTGGCTCGTGATTTTGTGCCCAGCCAGACTGCGGCAGTTCCCTTCATCTATATATAGTGACCTTCTCTGTCTCTTCTGATGTTGTCTTAAAGAATATTTTGTTGGCTATAAATTTAGCCACTCCTACTTTCTTTCAGATTCTATTTGTTTGGAATATAATTTTCCATCCATTTAATCTGTATGTCTTTGCAGGTGAGGTGAGTTCTTGTAGACTCCACACTGCTGGGTCTTCTTTAAAAAGTTCATTCTGTCAGTTTGTCTTTTAATTGAAGAATTCAGACTATTTACATTTAAGAGTTACTAATGAGGGGCTGTGGTTGTGGCTCAGCAGCAAAGCACTTGCCCAGCATGTGTAAGGTGATGGGTTCAATCCTCAGCACTACATATAAATAAATAAAGGTATTGTGTTCAACCTCAATTAAACAAAAGAGTTATTATTAAAAGGTATGTATTTGTTCATGTCATTTTGTTGGGTCGTCTTCTGGTGGTTTTGAGTTTTTGTTTATTTCTCCTCTCTTATTCATCTTTGAAGTTTAATGGTTTACTCTACTGATAATGTTTGATTCTTTCCTAAGTCTCATAGGCATAGCTACCCTTTTAGTGGGATGTATTCTTTCTCATACTCTCATGATGGTGTTTATCTTTCTTCCTCTTCTGGGCATAGGAAGCAAATTTAAAAAGTCCTTGAATCAAACAAAAATGAAAGCAGAATATATCATACCAAAAGCTCCTTTAAGCATCATGCTGGTCTAGGGTCATGAATTCCTTTAGTTTATGCTTATCTTGGAAAATCTTTATTTTTTCCTTTGATTCTGAAAGATAGAGCTTTATTGGGTATAGTAATGTTGATTGGCAGTTAATTTCTTTCAGGACTTGAAATATGTCTTTCTGTACCCTCCTGGCCTTCAGAGTTTCTGCTGAGAAATCTGCTTTTAGTCTCATGGTCTACCTTTAAAGGTGGCTTGGAACGTCTCACAGATTTTAATATTCCTTCTCTTGCCAGTATTTTTGGCAGTTAACTACAATAAATTATGGAAAGGTTCTTGTCTGGTTATCTCTACTTGGGTTCTAAATGCCTCTTGTACCTGAATGTTCATTTCTTTCCCAACACTTGGGAAATTTTTATTATTGGAGCAAACAGGTTTTTCATGCCCTTGACCTTCAGGTATGCTTTTGAGCCAGATGTTTGATTTTTTTTAATGGTGTCTCAGAGATCTTGTAAGTTTCCTTTATTCTTTTTAAAATTTCTATTTAAATATAACATACTGAAAGACTTGTCTTCAAGCTCCAATATTCTTTTTTCTATTTGATCTAATCTGTTTTTGAGGCTTTAATTGAGTTTTTTTATCTGACTTACTGAACTTTTCACTTCTAAGATATTTGTTTGATTCTTTTTTCAGAATCTCTACCTCTTTACTGAATTTCCAGTTCCTATTCTGCATTGTTTTCCTTAGTTCATTCAATTCTTTATCTATTCTCCTAGACTTCCAATGAGCTTTCAGAAAATCATTCTTTAGAATTCTTTATCCAGAATTTCATCTACATCAACATTGTCAGAATCTGTTCCTAGAGAGTTAAGAATGTTACAAGATGTCATATTACCTTATTTTTCATATGTCTTGTGTTTCTATGTTGAGATTTACACATCTATTGGGATGGATTCTGTTTCATTTATATGCTGGTTTTCTTAGTAAGCAGCTTTCTTTTAATGCTGTGTTCTTAGGTACTGGTCTGTAGTGTAAAGTTGAGTTTATTTTCAATTGGATTCCATGGTGTAATCTCCCTGTGGTTTCTTTGGCTGTGATTAGTAGGTATAGACACAGTGCATACCATATCAGAGTCTGAGGAACTCTGAAGAACCCACTGCTTCTGTAGGTCTTTCAAGAGTTTAAGTCCTCTGGTAACTCAGTCAGGTGTGGTATAGAGAGCAGAATATGTGGGGTGTGCCCTCTGTGGTTACTCCAACCATGGGAGTAGAAGCCCCCTTCAGGTGATGGAGGCTCCCACAGGCTCTGTTGATATTGGATCTGTTACTTGAAAAGAGATTCTGATACTTGTTGTTCAATCACAGTGAATGGCATGAAGTTCTTGCTTTCTGTTTATTCACTGGCTCAGTTCCTGGTGCTTCACAGGGAGAGGCATGGGCCAAGATCAAAGTCCCCCACCTGTGCATCATATTCACTTATTAGCAATGAATAATCTGATAGGGTACAAGTGCCTCTGATGCAGGGAACTCTCATAGGTACAGTGTTCCCAAGAGTTATGAGTCAAATGATGGTGCTGCAGTGTGTCTCATCACCTCTGAAGGATGAGAGGGGCAACAGGGTTGCAAAGATCTGTAAACCCTCAAGATCCTGATGTCCTGAGTCCTGACTCCCTCATGAAACACACATCTATTCACTCTCTAACACTCAGAGGGCAGGTTCCCTGAACTACTGATTTTACAGGGAAGCACCTTTTGCTCTCCTCTGCATGACAGTCTACATTTCCCACATGATAGAACCCTCAGCAGGTTTGTGTCAAAGTCACTCTCCTGAGCCAAGACTGTCTTATGAGGTGGCCACCTGTGAGGTAATGCAGTAGAATGGCCTGGAGATGGGAAGATTCAGGGATTGCTGACCCCCAGAGTAGTAAAAGCTCAGCTGACAGGACCCTTCTTAAGATGGCTCCTGATTACAGCACCCTGAGAATTTGCTGGGTGAGGCAGTGAACTCCTTCTCCAAAGCTAGTTCACCATGCTGATTCCAGGTCTCTTATCTGTTTAGACTATTTCTGTGAGGCTTCAAATTTTGCATCAATAGTTTGCTGGGATTCTCTTTTACCTATACCTCTGCTAAGGGTATACTCCCCCAATCCTCCTCAAGTCATATTGCCATGTGATAAATGCTGGGATGCTTTGTTTTTCTTGATATTCTATTATCCAAAACCTGGTTTTACTAGGTCTGTCTCCACTGTTGAACTCCAGTGCTCTCCCATGGCCACCCACCTCAATATGCAGCTATATACCTGTTGTTTTTGTTCCATCTGGTGGAGAAGCAGGCAAATGAATGGTACCTCTATTCTACCACATTGCCCTCCCTAAAATGTTTTCTTAATCTACATTATGATAGTTTCAAATTAAACACATCATAATCAATTATAATTTCTTTCTCAAAAGTCTTACCTGTGACGAGGTAGGTAGTTTTGAAGCACAGTGCGTCCAATGTCCATGGTGTTTGCTCCCTCGCTTACCACAAAACAGTCCCTGGGGAGTTGTTCTTGAATATGATAGAATACTGTGTAATAATTCATAGGCAGGGATTTTTTGGAAGCTAATTCCTAAAACAGTAGAGGGAAATATACTCTAAATTAGATTGGGACACAATGAAAATAACCAGTATCCATAATATACTAACAAACTTATCTGGAAATAGTTAGTTAATCATTAGAGGCTACCCAATTTCCAAATGGCTGTACAATGGTTACTCTTCAGGAGCTAAATAACCTGTGACAATATGCTAAGAAAAATGTATCCCACAGTCCCAATTTGGGATACAATCAAATAAACCAGGGAATATTCTTCTTCCTGGAGAGCCACAATATAGGCGAGCATATTAAAGACTCTAAGAAGTTGTACATTAAAGATAGCTAAGATACACTGAATTAAACAAAACCTGAACAATCTTATTTAAGCACTCTTAGGATAATGTTGCCTTACAAAAACTTTTTATTTATAAAATTTTTATTCCAGAATATTTTCATCTAAAATATGGCACTAAATTTAAAAATAAAATGTTAGGAATACAGAAGACAATGCTAAAATCTGATTGTTCCCCATACACTGGAGACTAAAGGAGATGTACTACATCCACCATTATAGAGTTCTAAATGGAGGGGGAAAACAACAAGCAAAAATCACAAGTTACAAATGCCTCTGTATATCCATATGCTTTCTAGTGCGGACAGAAAGCCACCTGGGCCTTTAGCAGCAAGTTTCATCTGTCCCTAGCACTACCTCTTTGCCTGGGCTACTATGCTCTGTTGGAGATTATACCAAGATGGACTAAGGACCTTCCTGTACTCCTACACCAGAGAAGAGAGTCAAGCTCCATTCATCTTAAACTATGGAGAGTCCTAGGGAAAAGAAGGGATTAGTTATATCACAGTTTAGAAAATAGGGCTGAGACTAGCTCTTGATAGGAGAAATAGTTACTGATTAAAATTCCGATGTAAGACAAAATCAGGTATAATCAATTCTGCTCTGTTTGCTTTGAACATGTGAATTTTTTCCAAGACCATGAACATATTAGGGAATTAAATGTGCATAATTTGCTTTTTTTTTTTTTTTTTTAGAGAGAGAAAAGAAGAGAGAGAGAATTTTTTAATATTTTATTTTTCAGTTTTCAGTGGCCACAACATCTTTATTTTATTTTTATGTGGTGCTGAGGATTGAACCCAGCACCCTGCGCATGCCAGGTGAGTGCGTTACCACTTGAGCCACATCCCCAGCCCTAATTTGCTTTTCTTATGTGTTATGTGTTAATGCATGATTCCACCAGCAAGAAACACTAGGTAAACAGAAAACCACACCCAGCTGAACCAAGACACATTTGAATACATAAAATAGTGAACACCTCAGGAACAACCTATTTCATAATCAAAGAATAAGCACAACAAAGAATAATATACAAACACTTAAAACAGAAATCACTAAATCCAGAAGAAATGATTCATTTTAGTGATAGTAATGGATAGATAGACTCCCTTCCAAAGCCTTCACTGTCAGGCATAACCATCAGTGCAGAGAAGAAAACCACAGAAGAATTTTCAGCAGCAATACGAAAGTTAAATAAAAAAGAAGGCAATATGTGGATCAAATTTTCAGTTTTAATGAAACAGCTATCTATTATGTTTGCATGCCTTGAAGGACTTGTAACTTAAAGGCAGAAAACCAAGACTTGACATGCCCCAGGACTTAAGGTTTCAAAAGATCACTAAACTGATGTTCTGTGCCAAAATCAAACTGAGGGGCAATAAGCCACATCCACCTGCATCTGCTGTTATAACTTTCACCCTCCTTCTACCACTTCACAGTAACTGACAAGCTGCAGGCCAAGATGATGTCCAATTCTACAAGAAACTTCATGTCTTTTTCAAGTACCCATATTTATATATGTATCTATTACATAAGCATGGTTAAAACTTTGCTACCATTTGTATTAGGCTCCTCCTACCTTATTTTTGTTTCACAAAGTTTTTCACAGTTGTGAGTTTAACCCCTTTTTCCAAGCCCTGTGGTTTTCATTTATGATTCTGCACAGCATGGTGACTTAGGGCAGAACTAAGTCAGCCATGAACCTGAGGTGTTCTTGACTTTCAGGGGGTCCCACGTTACCTTGGATGCAGCGTCATTGCTCTTCATTTTTTCCCTCAGAGTATTCCACCACTTGCTCTCTGGAGGATACTGCCATGGTGTCTTATCAAACTGTTCTAAAAGCTAAAAAAAAAAAACATAAAAGTTTTCTTTCCTTTTTGAAAATAAACTTAAATCACATTAATATAAAAATCTCTTCTTGGGTTGGGGCTGTAGCTCAGTTGCACAGTGCTTGCCTGACATGTGTGAGGCACTGATTTTTTAGCACCACATTAAAAAAAAAAAACTAAAACAAAGGCATCCTGACCATCTACACCTATTAAAATTAAAAATCTCTTCTTGAAGAAGACACATTGCTTGCTATGCAATTCTACCCTTCACATTGCTCATACTCTGCTTTTCTTCTAGGTAGGAAACAACTGATAAATGGGTAAGATGGTAAGCTTTTGTTTGGGTCAGTATGAATTTCTGCCAGATGCTGGGATTTCTGTAGGACAGAGTGAAGTGCCACCTCCTCCACATCTCACAGGCAAGGGCTCTTAAGCCTTTTCAGTCTTTGACACTGAAGGAAATTAACTCCCTACCTAGAATCCTTATAGGAAGGCTGGTAAATACCCAGAGTCCTCTGAAATAGACTCCACAGTGATTTTATATGTGATTGGAGATGTATCTTAATACTGTGTACTTATGATAACAAATATTCTCTAAAATCAAGTAGTAAATGTGACAATATTTTATCTCCTGTTACAATGGAATATATGTTATATACAAATAATAAGAACCTGGACAAGTCATTGATTACAGGCCTTTGGGATAGTAAAATGCTCTTCATTAACTAAAATAAAACAAAACAAAAACAAAATACACCCTAATTTTTTTTCCAGTGTGTAGAGCCAGATCTTACTTAATAAATCCCTGTTTGCCTACTGAATGACTTTAAGGTACTTTTAAAGTACCTTCCCAAAATGTTTAACTTACATGAATATGAGTTATGCACAAGAAGTTAGAGTTAACAAATTTCACAGTTACATTAAGAGTAGTTTTCTGGGGCTGGGGTTATGGCTCAGTGGTAAAGCGCTCTCCTCGCATGTGCAAAGCCCTGGGTTTGATCCTCAGCACCACATAAAAATAAATAAATAAAGATATTGTGTCCATCTACAACTAAAAAATAAATATTAGAAAAAGAGTAGTTTTCCATCATAAATTTTGCTTAAAACAGATATTAACAGACCTGTCACCAAGGTAATCAAGATTAATATTTTCAAGAACTGACTTTTTCAATCTACATAAACTAAATCCAGGCAAAAGCTCCTACCTGTTTAGTAACAGCATTTATGTCTCCTAGTAAAGTCACAGCAGGTCTCACGTTATTCCCCAATTCTTCTGCACAGATGTCAACCTAAAAGAGAAAAAAGGCTGAAGAACAAGTCATGTTTATTCTTCAAAATCTTTAAGCCAATTAAAGCTGAATAAATGGACTGTGCATAAATGATAAAATTTGATTTTCAACTCAAAAAGTTCCTCAATAAAAGTAAAAACCCATAAAACTATTCCAAGTATCATAGCTAGTATAGAGAACCTCCTCATTTTTTCTCATTTTAAAATATTCTCTATGGAATTCTGGTGTTGTCCCATTATACCCACAGGAATCCATTTGAGCTGATCAATTACAGTTTTTGAATCTAATTGATAATAAGGTTCGAATGAAATACACTTAAGATTCCAATCTAGAGAAGAGGTTCTCAGATTTGAGCATGTATGAGAACCACCTAGTGGACATGTTAAACCATACATTGCAGGAGTCTACTTCAGAGTTTCTGATTTAATTAAGTCTGGGATGGGGTACAAAAATGTGCAATTCTAACAGATTTTCTAGGCAATGCCAATGCTGGTGGTTCAGGGAACACACTCCAAGAAACACTCCTAAAGCATGGCCTGATTATTTTCCCTTTACTCAGAGGTTCCATTTCTGGACAGCCAGGAACAAGTGAAAATGGCTTTTGCAAGAAGGAACAATTTAACTACCCTGAAGGAGATTAGTTGGTAAAAAAGACAAGCAGTCAGGAGGTGGCAGCATCTTCCAGGTATAATCCACAATCTTGTTCGTGATTTTTAGTTCTCAATGACCCATGTGGGAAAGGGACTACTAGAAGCTGACTCCTTAAGAGGTAAATGGCAAATATGTCAAAATATGTTCTGTCATATATAACTAAAAGGAACAAATAAAATTTAAAAAACTGAATGGCAGGCTAGGAGAAAATTATAATTGAAGCTGAGTCATTAAACATTAAATGGAATGAGGCCAATCTGTATAGGACAAATAGAGCTCACTCATGTTACTAGATAGGTAGTTCTTCCTATAGTATAGAAACTGGATTATAAAGAGGGTCAGAATGATAGAAGAATCAAAAGAGGTAAGAGTATTTTTCAGACACGGTTTAATGACATAGGTAAAAGCAGAGTAGTTTAGAGATTTCCAACCAAAGAGTGAAAGTTTTGGCTCTAAAAGAAAAACTCACTCCATAACAATGCTGAATATTTCATTCTTATCTACCATCCTATTGAGTTTCGATTCTCAACCTTTAAATATACTTGAACTTGGATTTTGCTTTTCAAAACTTTATTTTGAAAAGTTTTCTGGTCAGAAGTAAACTGGAACATGATGTTTTAGAGGTTTAAAAAGGCAGATAACTTTAGGGCCTTTAATTATGTTAGACAATTTTTAAAAATCTTCCTTTGTAAAAAGAGAAAAGGTTCTTCACAAAAGTCAAGAAGAAAGCAGATCTGATAATGGCCGAGAGGAAGAACGATGAACCACAGACAGCTCTATTCTGAAATCTTTTCTGAGTACCTGGATAAACTTCACATCTGGCTGATATCTTGGAGGGAGTCCAAAATGTAAAATCCAATTCAGTCTAGCACCAAATAACACAATCACATCAGCAAATTGCAAAGCCCTATTTAAGAAAAAAAAAAAAAAAAGAATATAATACAAAGAGTACATCTATATTTCTTATTTGAATTATTCTTTTTTTAATATTTATTTTTTAGTTTTAGGTGGACACATTATCTTTATTTTAAATTTATTTATTTATTTATTTTTGTGGTGCTGAGGATTGAACCCAGTGCCTCACATATGCTAGGTGAGCACTCTACCATTGAGCCACAATCCCAGCCCTCTTAATTAAATTATTCTAAAATTAATTTTGGAAGTATTTTTTAATGTCTAGATAATTTGGAGTTTATATTAAACTTATGAATTCGCTTCCAGGGTAAATTTGATCATCCAAGCTAAAATAATTTATAAAGCCATTCTATTTAAATAGTAATCTAAAAGATAAATTAAGTAGAATAAATATTATTATAAGCTGTATCTACAATCCATTTACTTTATCACTAGAAAAATTAACATAAGTCCTCTGTAGATAGTCTTGAAAAAAAAACCCAGGAAAAAAAAAAAAGCCAAGTTAATCTCAATAATATTATTAATTGTAAACTATTATGCATATCCTGGCATATTTTCATCTAGTCTTTTTTTCTATGTAAGCATATTTTTATATAACTGAGCTTACATAATACAGTCCACACATATTTTCACTTATCATAAACATTTTCTTTATCATTAAGTTCCTAAGTAAAATTTTTTAAAAGTTACATGTTTTTCTGAACATATATGCCACAATTTATTTAATGTTCTCCACTGCGGGGCTGCACATATTTTCTCTCCTTCCCTCCCTTCTACCCTTGTGCTGAGGATGAAATCCCAGGCAACATACATGCTAGGCAAATGCTCTACTCCTGAGCCACAACACCAACATCTATGTTTGAATCTTAATGCACATTTCCCAATGATTCCTAGAAGGAGGGTTGTTTGTTTTTATTTTGGGCAGTGCTAGGAATTGAACCCAGGGCCTACTGTACACGAGGCAAATTCTCTACCAATGAGCCACATTCCCAGCACTCTAGAAGTAGGCATTTTTAAGACTATCAATTAATATTCCTGAATTGCTTTCCAAAATATTATACAAGTGTATTACTAATAGTTTTATTTTATACACCTTAATACTTCTAATCTTTATTAGATTCTAATAAAGAACTTATTCTAATATAACTTCCAATCTTTGAATGAGTTTTATTTTGATATCCACATTGATACTAACATACCACTCTTGCTTTATGTTTATTTCATATATCTTTGCTCAATCTTGTGTTTAAGTTATGTCATTTTGATAGCCCTTATAGCACATAGTTGCTGTCATTAATCCAATCAGAATGTTTCTGCCTTTTTCTGAGACACTTTATTATCATAATTGCAATGAGGTTTGTTTTGTTTTTACTCCTCATTGTCCTGATTTCTGGCTGACTCCCTTTTCCTCTTGCTGTACAAAATCTATTTTTATTGCTTTTGTCTTCTTCAGTGCTGAATGCAATTTTTCATAGAAATTCAGCTATCAGGTATTTACTCAAAAAAGCATCTTCATACATTGTGTCAATCCTAGGGAAACTAATTTAACAAACAGATAAAAACTGCAAATTGCAGGATGAATTAGCTTATCGATACTCTACAACTCTTTAAATTATCAATTCAATTATTTATAATCCTTTGCAATACTTTTTACACTATTTATGTCTTTAATGTTATCTTCTCAAAATCTAGTTAGAATGAAGATAAACTTCAGTTCAAACTAAGTTACAATATTAAATACACTTAATAGTATAAGAATTAATTTGACTACTATACATAAGAATTTGATTACTATCCTAAGTATACTGAGTAAAAAGTAAAAGCATGATCTAATAGCATTAAACAAAAAACATAAGCAGCAAATATGACATTTAACTTTTTTTTTTTGGTACAGGGACTGAACCCAGGGGTGCTTAACCACTGAGCCACATCCCTAGCCATTTTATTTTTTATTTTGAGACGGGTTTTGCTAAGCTGCTTACGGAAGTTCTAATTACAGAACTGCAGATGGCAAAAACCTAGAAATAAATACTGTCTTCTTGGCCAGAGGATCAGGATACCACCAAACCACCGCCACTCTCACAAACCCACACCCACCCACACCCATCCCCACACACACACACACCTTCCCTCTCTCCGTTTCTCCCTCTTTCTCTCTCTCACATACACACACACCTTTCTCTCTCTCACTTGCTTCGCTTCACACTGAAAGCTAGAGAGAACTTCATTGTGGTTTTTCCCCAGCAGCCAAAAATATAAGATAAATCTCATTTTTCAGGTAAAAGGAACTAGAAAAAGCACACCCCCATGGTCTAAAGTATGGGATCAGTCTCCATTGTTTTTTTCTTCTTGCTTGCCCAGCTGTGTGGTATTATAAGGCTGCAGCAAGGGCCTGGGAAAGGCACTTTTGGGAAAAAAGAAAGTGGAGGTGGAAACCAGAGAGACCCTAGAGAGAAGAGAAAAGAAATCCCCAATTCTGGATATGAACCAGCAAGTGTCTGGGCTTACCCCCAAAAGCAAGGCAATTGCAAACAGACCCAAAACATAATAGCAAAGTTTCTGAAGCAGAACTGACTCTGGAATTAGTGCCCCGAGTTAAGTAAAAGAGAATCTACAGTCTGAACCTAACCTAACCTAATCAGTTGACTGCTTGCTAAACAAATAAACAAATCAACATTCTAAAGGATTTTAATATGACCCTGAATCTCACAACCTATTATTAACCAATCTAGGATATAACCCATAATTACTCAATACAGAAAAATGTGACAATTCTCAAAAAAAAAAAAAAAAATACATGCTAATCCAAGAAGTCTCAGATGTTAGAATTACTAAATAAAGACTTTAAAGCAATAAAGACTAAATAAAGACTATTATAACTATGTTCCATGAAGAATAAAGAAAAATATTCTTGAAATAAGCTTAAAGATAGAAATTCTGGGCAAAGAAACATAAAATGTAAGAAACAAAAGGGTTGAAAACAAGTGAACAGATACTTGGAGAAAATCAAGATGTATAATATTTGTATCAATGGAGTTCCATTAGGAGGAGCAAAAAATTGGTGTAGAAATAACCATAAAAAAGTTTCTAAAATTGGATAAAGACAAAATTTACAGATTCAAAAAGATCTGAGAACCCAAAGGAAATCATGTCCAGATATATCATAATTAAACAGCTAAAAACCAAAGATAAAGAAAAATTTTGAAAGCAGACAGATAAAAAGAACTTACTACATAAGAGAACAAAGATTCAAATGACTGCAGATTTTTCGACTAAACCCACAAGAGCCTGAGGAGACTCGGTATCATCTTTAAAGTACTGAAAAGTCCAAAAGAAGCAAGTAGTCTTAGAATTACATGATTCTTTCAGAACTTCTCTCTAGATGCATTATGGTAACAAAACAATTTAAGTTAGCCTAAAATTTGCCATGATATTGTATTTTAAATGTGTAATGCCATATACCTGGATCTGGCTGCAGATACACAATTTGGATGGTTGTCAGGGACAACACCTTTTCCCATTGGGGTAGGCAAAAATGGCAATTTACACTGCTCCACCAACTTCCTGATACTCTCTTCTGCGTGGGCATAAGCAGCACCTATAAGAAATGGAAATGTATTAGATGATTTAGTTAAGTTTGGCATTGGGACCATAAAAATAGTTCACATGAAATTGCTTTTAGATCTCAAATACTTTCCTTCTGCTTATACATGGGCTTAAAAACAAAATAAACTAACTATGGTTTTTATCTTTGGTATTTTAAAGTGCTTAAGAAAGCAATAATTCTAACTTCCCCTCAATAATATTCTAGATTAATCTGAAGAATAAACAAAAGTTACACCATGCATCTCTTGTTGATACATCACTTACCTGTTCCATGCCATCATCCTGCTGAACTACTAATGGCAATTTACTAAATACACTGTATCTACTGGGAGGCCCAGGTGGGCAGGAGGAGCTCTGCCCTGAAAGAGAAAGGCTCCCTCTATCTTCACACATCTCTCTCCATCACCAGCAAATCCAGTCTGCACTAGTCTAGGGGGGCTTAAATTCCTAAGGCTCCCCAGATCTTTCTATAGGTTCTACAATGCTGTGACTGTACAGGGCTAACTTGAATGGGATATATATCTGTTTTTTACAACTATATGCCTGAAGAGTAACCATGTCTTTGACATTTAAGACACTGAATGTTTGATGAAATATAGGAATGATTCCATTTCTAATTTGATCAAGGCCACTATTATTCTTAGCTATTTTATACTTTTTTCATGGTTAGCAGAATTCTATCAATATTTGGAATTTAAATTCTTTACTGAATCCTATTAAATAGTATAGTGTGCTTTCAGATCCAATATCACATTCCCCCTACAGAATCTCCCCGACTCCTTTCTCATATATACACAATGAAAAATACTTTAGATTTTATGCAGCAAGTTTCCTTATTCTCCTTCTTACCTCTATGTCGATGTACACTCAGTCTCTCTTCCTAGACTGTCTCTGTTCTCCCTGAAACTTAGTGAACTATTGCCCAGTTTGTCAAGGTATAGCTGCTGTGCCATGCCTTCTGGAATGTCTTTGCACCACCTACACAAGGCAAACTGTTGCTGCTTTCCTGGAGAAGCCACCTCGGCCTCTCTTTACACACTAAGAGTTTACATGTAATCAGGTATCAGGCCTATTCCCCTCTAGGTAGGAATCATTATTTTTCTGTATTCCTCATGAATGGTTTTATAATCCTTGCCTTATCATAAGTACTCATCAAGTGTTTATTAAAGGAAGAATGAAAACTAGCACCCACTAAGTGCTTTCCGCGTATGTTGTTGCTGTTTATACCCTATTGAGGGAGTTAATGTTCCTATTTTACAAGTGAGATATTGAGACTCAGAGCAAATGCTTGCCAAAATACATCATAAAATGCATTCAACTCAGAATTATTTCAGTTGTTCACCATTTTCTTTAAAACTATTTTTAGTTTCTATGTGATATCTAAGTAATGTATAATTGATTAACATGGTCATAGGTGATCCCAACAGCCTTACAATAATAAATTTCTGATAGGAGTATAAATTGGTTGGTACCACAGCTCAGGAGAAAGCAATTAACAGTTTATACCAAAAGCCTTAAAAATATTTTGACTTAGTCGATTCTCTTTGGGGGGATCTGTCTTAAATCCTAAATAGGAAAAAAAGCGTTAGGCACGGATATTTTCATCACAGCTACTATAAACTAACAGTAAATATTCACCAGTAAAGTATTAATATGTATGTGAACAGACATTAAGAATTATGTCTAGAAAATAATTTTAAGATGATGGAAAATGTTACAATGAAAAAAGGAATAGAAAAGTATAAGGGTTAAAAATCACTGGTTGAAGAGATTTCTTCTATATTTCTAGATTTTCCCAAAATTTTTTATAATAGGAAAAAAAATCATTTTACTCTTAAGTCCCAAGCAGTGTAATAATTTCCTTGTAAGAGATCTCTGGACAATCAAGGATAATTCTATGATCTGAAAACTAATAATGTAAAATGAAGATGAAGAAAACTCTTATTCCAGTTTCAACATTAGAGCAGACAATAAATAAAAATAATTCCTAAAGAGAATCAGCATTCTTTCAAATGCCTCGCAAGACTTAGTCCTATTCAACGTTACCTTTCCCAATGATGAGAAGGGGCTGTTTGGCATTCCTAATTATAGATGCTGCCATACACACAGCAGAGGTTTCTGCCATGCTAACAGGAGGTGGCATACAGCACTCCTTGTACCTGCAAATAAACAGCTCTCTTAATTAAAACAGGCCAACTCCAAAATTTCTTACTGTGAAAATTTCAAATACATAAAAAGGTAGAAGCCAGGCATAATGCTGCACGCCTGTAATCCCAGCAGCTTGGGAGGCTGAGACAGGAGAATGGCGAGTTCAGCATCGGCAACTCAGTGAGACCCTGTCTCTAAATAAAATATAATAGGGCTGGGGATATGGCTTAGTGGTTGAGTGACCCTGAGTTCAATCCCTGGTACTCACTCTCCCCTTAAAAAAGTAGAAAAATAGTACAATAAACTCCATAAACTCACCATGTAGATTTAACAATTGATACCAGCTTACCACCTTTGCTTCACTCACACATGTGCATGTTTTTCCTCCAAATCATTTATATATATGGTTGTAGATGGACACATTACATTAATAAATATTTATTTATTTTATGTGATGCTGAGGATCCAACCCAGTGCCTTACACATGCTAGGCAAGCGGTCTACCACTGCGCCACAACCCAGCTCCCCCCACCCAATCATTTTAAGTATGTAAGGGTAAAAGAAATTGAAGTTAAAGTGTAAAAGACCGGGCATTATAAAGTTTCTAAGCTGCAAGGCCTGAGTTAAAAAGTAAAGGACCAGGTATTGTTAAGTTCCTATGCTACACCCCAAAACCTGAAATTCCTGTAGCTGTTAGGACAATACCCAGAACTGCCCAGTAAATATTCCCCCTGACCATCTGGTTGTTTAATAACCTAGGACCCTGTGCGGCCTGGCACATAGGCATCGCAGGGCCTAAACCAATCAGTTTGAATGTACCTCCCTCCTTAGGATTGACCTATCACCCCCGCCCAACCTGTTCCCGCCAATGAATGTGCTAATCAAGTTTGAGAATTGTTGTTTGATTTTCCTGCGGTGTATGATGATTTGTTAAAGGAGACTGTGATGTATGTAAAGTCCCGCCCTCCCCAAAAAGTGTACTTAAACACTGCTCAAGCCCTGCTCGGGGCTCTGGGCTGCTCTCCCTTCTTGAGTGAGCACGGAGCCCTAGCGCGCTGGATTGGATCCTCAATAAACCCCTTTTGCTGTTGCATGAGCCGGTCTCTTGGTGGTCTCTTCCTCCGACGTTCGCCGGACCCTTACAAGTAAATTACAGGCATCAAGACATTTCACCCTAAAAAATTCCTGATGCAGCTCTAAAAGAGAAGAACCTTCTCTTACACAAACATAATATCCTTATCACATCTAGTAAATTAACAGTTCTTCCCCAATATCTAGTAACCAAACAGGAATTCATTGACAGGAGACAGGGGTCAATAGCTTTGCACTGTAACAGCAATAGTAGTAGTTATTGTTGTCGTAATAGTAAATACCATACTAAAACCAATTATTTAATGCTATATGCCATTTTTTTCTCATTTAATTTTCAAAACAATAAAGAGAGGTATCACTATTACCTTAGTTTCACCACAGTGGAATAAAGACTCATAGACAGTAACTTAACCATGGTCCCAAATGGCACAGGACAGAGACTGCACTAAACAAGTCTCTCTGTCTCCTAAGTTCCAGTTGTGTTTCATTATTCCCCTCAGCACTCACTATTTCCACTCACTAGGTAAGTCAATACTGTAGTGGCACCCCTTTGTCTACAGGAAATCTTCAGTAAGTTTCTCCAGAAATCTTCACCATAATTAATCTCAGGACTATCAGCAAAAGAATCTCTACAAAAGAATTCAATGTAGTGACACTTCCCATTTCATGTTGCTTTATCTTACTTGGCCACCGCCTGGAAGAGATCAGCACTCCAGGTGCTGAATGTCACTTTACTAGTTTTTCACAAATATTTATGGACTATCTAACATACATAACAACATATAATAGTTTGTAGAAGTGTGCTTGCAAATGCAGAGTATTATATGAAAAACAAGATTCTTTTAACCAGGCCACAGGCCTTGGGGTAAAGCTTCACAGAGATGCTTACATTTCAAAGAGAAGAGGTTATCAACTACTCCATGGTAAATAGCTGGCAGAGGAAGGGAAGAAAGGGGAGAAGAAGCTCTCCCCTTCTCAGGTGTTGTCTTTGAAGGGTTAACTTGCCCAGAACAGTGAAAGAAAAAGCTGCTTTTGTGTGAACTTCTGCAGGCTGTGAACTTCTGAGCCTCTCTCCTTACATACCGAGTATAAAGTTCTGAAACTCAGGGTTCAGGGGGATTAATTGATTACAGCGAAAGCTATACCCACTGAACCTGGCTGCAGCCAAATGAACCTGCTTCCTGTTTCCTGTTTGGTATCCTGTCTCATCTGTCCCCTACTACAATACTGTATAGCATTACAATATGTATTAGCAAAAGAACTTAATGAAATTGTCCCAGGTAAGCATTTCTGGACAATTCCTCACTGTGATTAATTTATTCTAATAAAAAGGGATATGCAAAGGGTCGGGTTGTGTGGCTTAGTGGTAGAGCGCTTGCCTAGCATGTGTGAGGCACTGGGTTTGTTTCTCAGCACCACATATAAGCAAATAAATAAAGATCCATCAATAACTAATAGAAATATTTGTTTTTAAAAAAGGAATATTCAACCTTTACAAAAATATAAAAGGCAGCTTATAATAGTTACAACTTCTCTGAGCCTCACCCTCTCTCACTCCTTAATATTATTTTGATTATCATGTTCAGGTATTATACAGAGTAAATGTCTTTTTGTCTGACTCTCCCAATCACCCTTGGTATACTGAGTATACCCCTGAGGCCCACTTTCTACAATCAGTAAAGAACCATTTTCACAATAACAAAGTCCACAAAAATTATAATTAGGACTTTTGTGTGTGTGTTTGTGTGCTAAGGATCAAACCCAGGGCTTCTTGCATGCTAGGCAAGCACTCTACCTTGAATTACATCCATCCCTAGGCCAGGAAATGATCACAACAATGAAAAAATTATCATGATAAAGCCAAGTAAAAAAGATAGAATATAAAACTACATAGTATGAATACAATATGAAAAATATGCACGAAAAGAGAATAGAAAAATAGTGTTAAAAATGTCAATTCTTAGCTGAAATGATTTCTACTTTTCTGACTTTTCCCCCCCTAAAAAATAGAAAAAAACACATTTCACTTGTAAGACCAAGAAAATATCATTAAGGCACCAAGGTCCACAATAGCAGGAATGCACTAAATAATTCCCAAGTTGATGCACTAAATAATTCTCAAGTGCCATCCTTAAATGGCCGAGTGAGAAACCAGAGAAAAAAGGATTTTTGTACTTCTTTTCACTCAGTGTTTAAGAAATAAAAGGATATGACAAATAATGGAAACATCTATGTTAGAACATTTTAAAACCATACAGAGAGTTAGACATACATTTTTTATGCTGCGTCGCAATAATTTCTCAACAATCACCTCATCTCTTGGCTTACACTAGGAATATATATTTATGGTTACCACGGAAATAATTTCAAATGAGAAATTCAGAAAGCTCCATGTAATTGATTTAGTAATTGAACCTTAAAATAGTTATGAAATAATACCATTTTAATTAAGAAAATTAAGCCATTTGGTAAGGACTCAGCTGAATTACTAAACTGTGAAAAGTTAATACAACTGGAGATTAATTTATAAACTACTAGGTAAATTCTTTTTAAAAGGTAAGCATTAGCTGGGCACGGTGGCACATGCCTGTAATCCCAGGGCTTGGGAGGCCAAGGCAGGAGGATCACAAGTTCAAAGCCACCTCAGCAATAGTGAAGCACTAAGCAACTCAGCGGTTAAGTACCCCTGAGTTCAACCCCTGGTACCCCAAAAAATTTTTACTCACTTTATAGAATCCACATTCACCTGGAGGGTCACAAAATCTGCAGGTATGTCAACATAACAAGCACCTGGACGACCGTAGATACTGCTTCTTACTGCCTATGTTTATCAAAAAAGAAGGCTTTTTTAAAAAAAATCTCAATCCTTATTATCATATTTTACTGAAAGATAATTCATTTTATTTGTTTTACTTGAGGATAATTTAAAACTGTAAAATAAATGCTATTTTAATTTTTCTAGACATCCTTAGTTGGAGGGAAAAAAAACTCTAATTAAGAAATGTCCTCCATTAAGTCTACATAATTCAGAAGATATTTCTTGTTTAAAAAAAGAGATTAGACGGAGGTGGTGGTACACAATGTTATCTCAGTGACTCAGGAGGCTGAGGCAGAAGGATTGCAAGTTCAAGGCCAGCCTGGGCAACTCAGTGAGACCCTATCTCAAAACAAAAAATAAAAAGGGCTAGGGATGGGGGCTGGGATTGTGGCTCAGTGGTAGAGTGCTCGCCTACCATGTGCAAGACACTGGGTTCGATCCTCAGCACCACATAAAAATAAAGATATCGTGTCTACCTATAACTAAAAAATAAATATTAAAAAAAGGGGTAGGGATGTAGCTCCATGGTAGAGCACCCCTAGATTCAGTCCCCAGTGCTGAAAAAAGGGGGGTGGGGGAGACAAGAAAGAAAGTATTCACTTAGGGCTTTGAAATTCATGTTCTATTCCACTTTCAGAAATTATTCACTAGACTCTGCATGCCAAGTTTTGACACTGTAATGTGTACTTTCACCTGCTTCTTAATCCTAATAATCTGGCAAAGTTTTCAGAAGCTGTGATGTTGTAATATGTATAATATAATTTCTATAATTCGTGGTTTTGACATGGTTCAAATGTGTATATAATAAATGATGGATAGATAAAATAGCTTATTAAAAAATTATTTTATTAACTGAAGAGAGTTTTTTTACACATTAGTCCCAATTTTCAAAAATAATCCTTTGCAAAAGCAAGGAGTACCCAGGGGTTTGTTATACCTTTATATTCACTTATGCATAATTAAAAAGATAATTATAAAAAGTGAAGCACAGGAAAAAAATTTTCCAAAAATAACTTACTTCATCACCTATATGTTTCTATAATTAAATGTAGTTATAGTGAACACTAAAATGTAAAAAGCTTCGTAACGAGGTCATTTTTACCAGTCTGGATATACTCCTAATTATCATTAATTTTATTGAGAGTAAAAATAACAGTGCTAAAGGTGTAATTCAGTGTTAGAGCATGTGCTTAGCAAGTGTGAGGCCCTGGGTTTAATGCAAAGGAGAGAGTGTTATTAAATACTGTACCTTTTCAATAACAGTGGGAATAGCTTCTATGCTACTTGGCCGGACAGAGAACTTGCTGTATGGTCTACAAGCTTCCACCTATATAGAAAATGAAAATTATCTAAACATTCAGTTCATAATCATATTACTCTTCCCAAGTAAGACAAAGTGTTAAGTTATTACTTTCTATTACATTTAGAAGATAAAGAAAATGCATTTTAAGACTATGTCCTAAAGGCCTATTCAAATCATAATCAAATTTCTAACAAGAGACCTTTTTTATTTCTCAGACTGGCAAAAATTAGTTTGATAATACCCACCCATCTACCACAGCACAGGAAAACAGGCACTCTCATAACTTCTGGTAAGAATATAAATAGAAAAGAAGGCTTACTAATGTCTACAAAAAAATTCAGCAACATAACCTGAGCCTAGCAATTCCACAGCTAGGAATACACAACTTCATCTGTTACATCTTATCTATTTTTATGTTTCTGCCAGTTTCCCCTTTTATGTTTGTTGCTATGCTGTTTAGAACATGTGAATTCAGTAGTGATAAATTCTCACTGTTTAATGTACCTTTAGCATAATATATCAACTGTTTCTCCTGAGTTTCTGGTATGAAATCTATGAAAACCTTGGACACCTCAGTGCCATCGGCATGAGAGAGAGAATTAAGCTAATCCCTGGAATTTCTGTTTATGGTCATGTCTTTTAGTTTTAAAGACTTCTACAAAAAGAAGATACTTGGATTTTAAATCAGTGATCTTTCTCTTCAATTTTAAAATTTTCTCTAATAAGCTGCTATTAGTTTTATTATTAGGTAAAAAAAAATATTTGTGATGGTCAGTATTCTTTTTTTATTCTCAATGATTGTTTTTGGAGTAACCTTAATTTCCTTTTAATTAACTTATCTGCTCCATTTACTTTTTCAGCTATATCAGCATCTTTTAAATAAGCAATAATTATAATTATCTTCCTTTGACAAGTAAAATTTCAAGTCCCTTTTAAGTGTATAAAAACATAACATTTATATTAAATTATATCAAAGTATAGAATTTTGTATTAGTTCATCATTTATAAAATTCTGTTTGGGGTTGTGGGTGTAGTTCAGTGGTAAAGTTCTTGCCTAGCCTATGTGAGACTCTGGGTTTGATCTCTAGCACTGCAAGAAAATCTTTCTAAAAATTCTGTTCAAAATTTGGTTTTAACTTTGCTCTTTACTTTATCCTACAAATGCTCAAATATATTTATATTGTATCCATCATTCACTCTTATGTATTGCTTTCTACAACTATTTTTAAAACTAATATTTTATTGAAAAAAAATCTTAATTTTACTTTTGAAATACTTTCCTTCTTCCTTCTCTCTTCCTTCTAAAATAAATATAAATTTGTCCAGAGTCTTCTGATAATCACTTTAGGAATTATCCTCTCAACTTTTTATTTCCATGAAGTTTAGGAAGCATAGTCCAAATTCATTTTTATTCCCACTTTTGACTCTTACAAGAACTTATTTTCAAAATTAAAAATCCTATCAATTTTGGTATATTTCTTGAAAGCCTGATCTCAAAGCAGGAATAAGCCCTTTTTTTAATATTCCCCTGAGATTGTCTTGTTCAGGAAAATTACCTTAGGCACCTCTAATTTATGCCTTTTAAATTGTTTTATTTTGCAGACAGGAGTTCTTATATCTTGTCCATAATTCTTACAGTATATAACTGTGTTGTTACCTGAGGAAACTCCTGGAAGGCTCCCATTGTTTCTTGATTTCTTTCAGAGGAACCACCAATCACAATCAATGGCCTGAAATAGTAATTTTTGAAAAAAGATAACTACAAATGAGACTATGTAAAACCCTCTACAGAGAATTCAATGTATAACATTGCAATAATGCTAATGAGAAACAGAGAAACAGAACAGATTACATCCTCCCTTAGAAACTATAGGTTAAAAAATACTTAGAAGGCAAGGTGGTGAGAGTACCCTTCCTCAATTTCAGAAAAATGCAACATTTATAGTAAATGTTTTTCCTTACTCCTGCCTCACCCCTACTGGATGCTGATGCTAGACTAACAGGGGTAGAAAAATAAAATAAATTTTTATGCTCTTCTTCTTGTTCTTGGGATAGGGGAAAGAGAAATTCAATACTTTATTAGGTAAATCTATTTAGAAATGGCAAAATGACTGACATTCCTCATCAATAAAACTTTTAACCCTTAAGGTGAAAAAAATCACAGCAAACCTAAAGGTACTCAAAAATATCAGATCCTGATAAAGGGAAAGACTAGGAAGGAAGGAGAGGAAATTAAACATGCTATAAATTGATTAGAACATAACCCCCTTCAATCTGATCTTATTGGTAAAGTACCAAAGATGGGCCAAAGGCAAAGTTAGAGAATAAGTACCAAGCAGTTTGTAAAGCAAACTCAAATACAAGAATCTCAACTGCCTTGCTAACTACACAAAGTGAAGAATTAGACATTTTAAAATACTAAGCTGGGATCTTTAAAAAGTAATTCCTCACTGAAAGCAAACAGAACTATATAAACATATACATACACACACATATACAAATAAACATACAGAGAGAGGGAAAGAAACTCTAAAATGTTAATAGTGTCCACCTCTAAGTAAAGAATAAGAATAATTTTCATTTTCCTTATACCTTTTAAAACAGCCCATATTCATGGTATACAACATGGTGTTTAAAAAATACACAAACACATAATGAAGTATGTTAAAGTAAAATTAACATATTCATCATTTCATATATATATACTTTTTCTGTGTGTGGTAAAAGAACCTGAAATCTACTCTCCTAAGCAAGTTTCCTGAATCCAATTCTATTAATTAACACAACACAACATTAACTATTGTCCTTATGTTGTACACTAAAACTCTAGGCTTATCTATCCTGCATAACTAAAACCTTATACCCTTTGACCTTCACCTCTCACCTACCCCCTTTCCCTTAATCACCTTTCTGTTTCTATATATTAGAGGATTTTTCCCAGTCTTTCCACTGAAGATCAGTTCTACTTAGTAAGATTACAGAGGACATTTTAAGAAAATGTTTTCAGTAATAAAACTTTGATTACCAACAGTTCATATTTGCATTTGCCATACCACCCAAGGCATGGATGAGACCTGGGCCAGAAACAACAAGGCATACTCCTGGCCTAGAAGCAAAACAGAATTTATTTTATTAAAATCAGATCAAATTTACAACTGAACAAGCAGAATAAGCCCCAAAAATCTTTTTTTTTTTTTTCCAGAACTGGAAACTGAACCCAAAGGCTTGCGCATGCCAGGTAAATGCTCTACCACTGAAGCACATGCCCAGGCTTTTTTAAAATTTCACTTTGAGTCAGGGTCTAACGAAGTTTCCCGAGCTAGCCTCAAATCTGTGATCCTCCTGCCTCTGTTTCCCATGTAGCTGGGATTATAGACATGTACGACTGTGCCCAATCTAGCAATCTCATTTTTGAACCAAATATTTTTGGTCCATAACAACAAATGATTCAGATCACTTTAGAGTGAAATACAGCAGCAATCTTCATGAACTTCAAATAAAGACATGTAGGTCTTTATTATAATTGTAGAAAAATTATTAGAATATTTGTAATAAAAAAGATGATTACATAAGCCTTCTTATAAGAAATAAAGCACATATCATCTTCACATTGAATTTCTCCATCCTCTTCATATTTTGCTCCCATTTCATGTGGGCTAAAATGAGTTGACTGCATAGAGAAGCATTTTGGAAATGGGTATATTTTGTATGAAGAAGGTGATTTTTTTTTTTCCATTTCTTAACAAATAAATGCCAATTCAGGGGCTGGGACTATAGCTCAGTGGCAAAGCGCTTGCCTAGCAATTGTGAGGCACTGGGTTCGATCCTTGGCACCACATAAAAATAAACAAAGTAAAGGCATGCTGTCCATCTACAACCTCAAAAAATTAAAAACAAGTCAACTGACCTTTGAGAGGAAAGTAATTCTGTACATCATGTTCTACCAAAACTCTTTTCCAACTAAAGCTCAATTTTTTACCCTAGAAATGACTTTCTAAGCCTAAAGCACTCAAGAAAAAGGTATCTCTACATTGAGTTTGCCACTTAACATTTATAATTTCTTAAGAATCTTTAAGACAGACTTTAAAATGCATTAACTTATCACCAAAAATTAAAACTTCTACAACAGTACTGACAGAACTTTTTGTACAGTCCAATATGGCAGCCAGTCCACAGATGGTTACTGAGCACTTGAAATGTGGCCATCATAAATAAGAAACTATAGTTTAAATGTTATTTCATTTTAATTAATTTAAATGTAGTCACACATGACTAGTAGCTAGTATAATAAACAATGTAGTACCAGAAGTTCATTAAAAGAAACAAAATTTTGCTGGGCATGATGGCACAAGCCTGTAATCCCAACAATTTGGGAGGCTGACGCAGGAGGATCTCAAGTTCAAGGCCAGCTCCAGAAACCTTAGTGAGACCCTGTCTCAAAATAAAAAAACATAACAAAAAAAAAAAAGGCTAGGATGTAATTCAGTGGTAAATTGCCCCTTGGTTCAATTCCCCAGTACCAAAAACAAATAGGTAAACAAAAAATAAATAAATAACAAAATCTTTGAAAGTATAAACTTGACTGTTTCTTAATCATCATTCCAGCATTTTTAAAAATTAAGGCATCAGTAACTATGATTTAAATGTTTTCTGGGCTAAACAAAAATATCAAATATTGTTTATGTAAATAATGTGACAGAAAGTGGCAAAAAGATGTTATTTTTTGGATGGCCTATTTTTTTTTGCACTGAAGTTCAGAAGGTCCCCATCAAAGAGGTGGGACTATGGTGAGGTCTAGACTTTTGAGAACCACATTTGTCTATATTTCTTAGCAGTTTAATTACTTATTTCATTTTTGGAAACAAAAAAATTAATAATATAAGTAAAAAAAAGGATAAAAATTACAGTAGGAGTCCAAATTCTGCTTAAAAAAATACATGTAGAAAAATAACTGGAAGAAAATACTACAAATTCTTAACAGTATGGGATTAGAGGTGATATTAGTTTTCTTCCTTATACTTTTCTATACTCTCCAAATTTTCTAAAATGGGCCCTTTTTTCTTTCTCCCCCGCCTTTTTTTTTTTGTGTGGTGCTGAGGATTGAACCCTTGTGCATGCTAGACAAGCACTCCACCAACTGAGTTATATCCCAGCCCTAAAATGGAGCACTTTTAAAAATATTAATTTTTACTTTTTAATTTTTTTTATTTATGTGTGGGCGTGTATGTGTGTTGCTAGGGATTGAACCCAGGACCTTGTGCATGTGAGGCAAGAACTCTACCAACTGAACTATATCTGCATCCCAAAAAAGTATTAATTTTTAATAATAAAAGAGGGGTGAATAGTTAGTTAATATAGATACAAACTAAAAATATGATAAGTGAATCAAGTCTCAACAATCTCATTTTTGAACTTAGAATTTTTATATTCAGTGGGCTAGGGCAATTGGGACATGTAAGACAAGGAATGTCAGTATCTGTTCACTAGCAATTCACTACACAAAATGGAAATGTGTTTTACCCCAAACACTTTTCTGGTATGATCCTTTCAATATGACTCAGAGAGTTCTAAATTTCTTATGTTTTTATCAATACCATCTTCTGTAATATTTTCAAATCAAATGATCCTTTAACTGAAGGATCAAATTAATGTAATTGAAATAAAGACTTTAGCTTACCTGCCAGTCAGATATCCAACTGCAGAGGCAGCATAACAAGCCTACAAAGTAAGAACACTGGAACTTAATCAAGCATATTGGGATTCTCATAGTGTACATATGAGAACAATTTATTACTAAATAAGAGACTAGAATTTAAATGATAAAAGAGGAATTGGAACACTTTTCATTTTAAAAATGAGAAATGTGCTACCCGCAAATTTCAAATAATGCTAAACAGTACCTAAAAGTATCTAATCTCCAGTTTTCAAAGAATTAATCTTTATCATCTGTTATTTATAATATCCTCTTCCAACTGCTTACTTAAAACTGCTTAAATATCTTCAGGATCAATAGAAATGTCCTCTTTTTCTTATTACTAATACTGGTAATTTGTGGGTTTGTTTCATTTCTTTGTGTGTGGGCAGAGGCTGGGGATTTAAGCCAGGGGCACTCTACCACCCTCCCTAAATTGTGGAGGCTGGCCTTGAACCTGGAATCCTCCTCATTCAGCCTCCTGAGTCACCTTCCGTGCACCAACACACCCAGCTGTGTTATCCTTCTTTGATTGTTCATCAGTCTCATGAGGGGTTTATCAAATGTATTAATCCTCTGAACCCAAGAGTGCTTTACCACTGAACTATATCCTGCCCTTTTTATCTTTTATTTTAACAAGCATCTCACAAAGTTGCTTAGAGCCTCCCTCATTTGCTGAAGCTGGCCTCAAACTTATGATCCTCCTGTCTCAGCCTCCTGAGTGGGAGAGATTATAGATGTGTGCCCTGTGCCTGGCTCCCCTACATTCTACTGCATAATTTTGGCAAGTTACTCTGTATATTGGCTTCTTCATAAAATAAATGTAATTCAGGGCACTGATGTGAGAATAAAATCAGGTAATCAATGTAAAACACTCAGAATAGTGCCTGTACACAATAAACTCTAAGCAGCTGACTTTCTGACAATCTGCCTGTTTGCTGGTTAACTGACCAAATGTGTCTTGGTTACTGTAAAGAACTGATGAAAAACAAGTCATAACCAACTACACCTTTCTCTTTAGCACAAACAAGATCCTAAATCCTTCTGAACTTATTCTCCTATTCCTTCTGAATAATCCTGTCACTACTTTAATTCAGGCACTGTCTTCCTTTGACTACCATCAAGACTCAGGTTGCCTGAGAGGCATATGTGCTGGATGTTCCACACACATCTCAAACTCAAATGTTCAAAATCAAATTGATCATCTTTCCCCTCCAAACTGGCTCTTCCCTCTATCCAGTGCCCAGCATAGCACCTTAAACCTAAGGAACCCTCAACTAAGCTTTTAAGACTGGGAAAAAAAAAAAAAAAAAGTCAAGCTGGAGTCTGTCTTCTGGCTCCTAACCTGGTCCTTATTTGTTTGTTTATTGATTGAACTGAACCCAGGGCTTCATGCATGCTCGCAAGTATTTTAACTCTGAGTTAAACCACCAATCCTGCTGGTCCATACTTTATTCTACGATGAATACAATTTTTCTAAAGCAAAATCCTAAATATGTCTCTTACTAATTAGAAAAACTTTTACAGTCTCCCCAATTGCCTACTGTTAAAAAAAAAATTCCAAACTTTTCCAGCTAGAGAAGATTCTTTACATCCTCCTTGGCCTACCTATCCAGTTTCCCAGTCAACCATGTCTTCAAACTATCTTGATGCACCATGAACAAACAATACCTCTACAAGCAATCTTCCCTGTGCCACCAAAGTCCATATATTGTACATCTATTGGGGGAGTTATTATATAGGATAAGTTTTTTCTGTATGTCTTGCTCTCATGGTCACAGACTGTGATCAACTTGAAGACTAAGATTAAACCTAATTCCTTCTTTATATTGCTCTCTAGCACCAGTTACATAGCATAGTTTCTAGCATACAGTACATACCCAATATCCTGTATAAAGAAGACATACACCTCCAGAAAAACAATAAAAAACAAATGCAATTAACAGGTGAAAAACTTCACCTTATCATAAAGATAATAGAAGGCAATTCCCAAAAAAAGTGGATTCTTGATCTTTTAAGACAGCACTGCTGACAGAAGGGCAAGTTTGGGATGGCAGAAGAAGCACTAGAAGTGGGCTGACAAAATTTATTAGCTTATATTCCTTGTTTCCAAATAATACTCCAAGAAAGGAGGTGGCATACTGTGCACTAGACCAGGATTTGGGCAACCTGAGTTTCAATCATGGCTTTACCATTTGTGATATCCTTCACCCTGCCCTGACACCTATTATGTAACATGAGACTTGGCCTTCACTCATTCACCCCGCAGGTACTTACTCTCTCAGCACCTCTAACACACCAGGATAGCAATATAGGTGTGTAGTGAAGAAATAACATCTCTGCTCTCCTGGAGCTCACAGGCTAATAGGGAAGCCAGACTTCATTCAGGAACTGTCCTTTCCAATCCTGAAATTTAGACTTGGCAGAGCACAACACAATATACTAGTATGACCAAGTTCTCGGAGCCACAGTACCTGAATTTAAATCCAGGCTCTGCCACTAATTCACCTGTGTCTCACTTTTCTTATCTGTCAACTAAGATTAACAATAATTAAATTTGGGCTGATGCGTGCAAAGCACTAGAACAGTGGTAAGCACTGAGCGTTTGTAATGAACAGCTATGATTATCCATCATTCTCAATAATGCATCAGCTAAGTCCTTACTCACCGCTTGCTCATTCCTCATCCCGATGTACCTGATGCCTAACTCCTGGGCTGCAATGGCGATTTCAGTCACCGGGATGCCTACGACGCCAAACATGTACTCCACATTCTGCCGGCGGGAGAACAAGTGAACAAACGCCCGGCCCCTCCCCAAGTAGCCTCCAGCCCGTGCACCAAAAGGAAACCCCAAAAGACCCCACCCCCAACTTCCCAAGCTCTCCTCGTCCCCATGACAACGCCTGGGTCCCGTGCGGCCACCGTAGGAGCCTTTCACTTCAGAGGCGGCCCTCGTACTTGCGTCTTCAGGGCCTGGGCGATGACTTTAGCACCAGACACCTGCTCCTCGCTTCTGTCACTCCGCTCTGCCAAGTTACTTTCCGGCATCTTCCACCTAAAAGTTCAAGGAACTCTCGCAGCCACCAGCCTGCGGCAAAACAAACCCTCACCCCGCAGGCCGCCAGTGGAACCGCGCCTCTGACGCACAGCAGGGCAGCCAACCGCTTTTAAATAACAGGACGGAAGAGGCGGGGCTAAACTAGCCCGCTCCGCGTGAGGTGAGAATGTAAACAGCCTTCTTCCCGGTTCCCCCATTTGCAGACACAGAGTGCGAGAAGGAGGCAGGACTAGCTGGAGGCCGCGACCTACGCCGAGCAGGTAAGAAGCCGCCTCTCGGAGGCCTCCCGCCATTGCCCAAGACTCCTCCAAGGTCCCGACGCTCTTTGGCACCGTAAGTGGCGCATGCGCACGTGGGACGGAAGGCGGGCTGGGCTCCCGAGAGAAGGGGGCGTGGCTCCGGCCCCGCCCCCGCCCGGGCAGCTTGCTGAGGGGTCTCGGACAGGCTGAAGGAAGGCTGCAGGAATGAGGGTGGCAGAAGCGCATCTAACGAAGAGCAAAGTAGTCTGTGGGTCGTGTTGTCATACTGCTAAATCCTCTGATTTCATAACTTGTGCTTTTGCACTCCGTAAATCATACTAATGCGCCTTAAATCCGCAAGCAGCTACCCCAGCTTCATAGGTGACACCTGGCTTCCAAGCAGGGGAGAAAGTAACTTGCCCGGACCAGCTTCAGACTATTCCGGTTCCTTGTCCTTCTTTGGCCCATGAACCTCGAGAAATTCAACCTGTGCTGCTGACCATTACTCTCCATTATTGTCTTTCCAAATCAGGACATGCAGCTTTTCAGTTTTTACATCAGTCCCTTCCCATAACCAGGCCCTGCTCTTCAAAGCCTTTCAAAACACTTCCCAATAAGAAAGATGTTTGCAGTGTGCAATTTCTGAGGCTATGCCCCAATCCTTAGACCACCTCCTACTCGGTAACAAAAGTAAAAATTAAAAATAAATAGGTAATCTGCTTAAAAAGTTATAGGTAGAAGACAAGGAGCCAGAATCATGGGTAGTGAAATAAATGAGAAGCATTGGAAATGAAAGGAATTCTAAACCTAGAGATTTTTAAAGTGTAGTCCAGGCCCTTTCAAAATGTCTTCCTCTCTTTATTTCAACCTCTCTCTTCACCCCAATCAATGGAGAGTGAAATGGTCGCCTCCCTAGCTATGAGGGAGTCTGTGGATCCCATCTAAGAGGGAGATTTCTTTGAAGTCTCAGGTTCATCTAAACAGTAAATGCAGATTTTGCTTCTACTCCAGAATGTATCCATGTTTTGATATAAAATGGCATTTTGTTTCTTAAGATTTAATGAGCACAATCAAATTTTACTTTTATATAGGGTCTTGCTAAATTGCTGAGGCTGGCATCTTTCCATCCTCCTGTCTCAGCCTCTTGAGTTTCTGAGATTACAAGTGTGTGCCAATGTGCCTGGCTTAAATACTCAGATCTTAAATATATGAGTTTTGACAGTTATGTATACCTATGCAGCTATCACCCAAAATTAAAATGATATCTTAAGCTGCTTACCTGCCAAGTAAAACTGATGTTCCAGAAAGATGTAAAACATTCTTTCTGTGCTTTGAATAGTCCTTAGCACAGTGACTCCTACCTCTATTTGATTAACTCCCCTCCATTATGTGCTATAGTTTATATTGATACTTGCATGACAGTGCTTGCATGATTCTCATTGCATCAGAATCACATGGAAAGTACAGTTGTTTGGCCTTACCTCAGATCTCCTGAATTAGCATCTTTTTGGAGGGCTGGAATTGAACTTGGGGGCACTGAGCCACATCCCCAGCCCTATTTTGTATTTTATTTAGAGATAGCTTCTCACTGAGTTGCTTAGTGCCTTGCTTTTGCTGAGGCTGGCTTTGAACTCACAAGACTCCTGCCTCAGCCTCCTAAACTGCTGGGATTACAGGTGTGCACCATGAATTAGCATCTTAGAACATGTTAGGCACTTGCATTTTTTTTAAAGCTGCTACCTGATTTGTGCATGTGTGTATGTGGTATTAGGGAATGAAACCCAGGTGTGCTTTACCATTGAGCTACATTCCCAGCCTTTGTTTTTTTGTTTTGAGATGTAGTTTCGCCATGTTGCTGAGGCTGGCCTCAAACTTGGAATCCTCTGCCTCATCTGGAATTACATGTACCACCACACCTGATTTTTATTTTCTTCCCAAATTCAGAACCACTAGCTCTGTACTCATGTTGGTGGTAATAATTAAATGTCTGATTGCCTAACTATTACCAATGTAATACAGTTGATGAACTTGGATTTATAGGTTCAAGGCTAAACCTGTTTGACATTAACAGCACAAGCTGCATAGATGGTAGTCAATTCATGGGACCATGTGTCTGCTTTCCTGTCAAAAGAATCACTGACAATGTGAAGTGCAGAGGGAATTTCCCTAGAATTCAAATTAAGTGGTTTTGCAAAAGCATAAATCCTCAACAAGCTAGATTCTACCAGATAGCAAAGAGAAAAGCCATTAGAGAGTTCTTGCTTTCACCTTTACCCCTTTCAGTTCAGGGTGCAGCCTTCCCCTATTCACTGGTCTCTGATGATTCAGCAGGAGTGCTGAGTCCTGCCCCAGGATTCACAGGGTCAAAGAGCAACTCCTTGTCAGTCCAATTGTAGTTAAAAGACCCCAGGATCTGGAATTTATCCGAAGCCCTTTGTGTGGACTTTGTAACCACTGACCATGTTCTTTATTACTTTTGTTGGCAGTAGGCATGGAATTTTATTTGCTGGATGTTTTGTTTTTGCTTATTTATTGGTTTTGTTTTTTAATTTATTTATTCATCAAAAAGGAATAAGCCTAATGTTTTTAAAAATAAAGACTAAATAATTAATAATATGCTCTCCAAAGAACAGAGCTACTCATCCAGCCTGCATGCTGATTATTCAAGGGTTCTAGATCTGAGATTATGAAAAGAAGCTGTTTGACAGCTGTCTCCCACCTTGGTGAAGAGAATATCTAGGCAATAGGTAAGTTAGCGTCTGGCGAAAACATACTCTTGGAAGACTGCAGCTTCTACAGGCAGTGACTCCTTAGACTCCAAAACACTGATTGTACATTTTAATTTCAGTAACCTAACAAGGACACTAAGAATCTTTGTGATTATTTTAAAACACAACACTAGCAGGACCTGTAAGAAATAGTCTCATGGACATGTTTTATCAAAATTATGAAGTGTTTGGTTATCAAATGAAGAAATAAATTGGAGCCAGATGTGGTGGCACATATCTGTAATCCTAGTGACTCAGGAGCCTGAGGCAGGAGAATCATAGGTTCAAGGTTAGCCTGGTCAGCTTAGTGAACCCCTGCATCAAAATAAAAAGGACTAGGATGTAGCTCAGTGGTAGAGTACCTCTGGTTCAATACCTAATACAAAAAAAAAAAAGAAAAGAAAGAAAGGAAAAAATGGGATTATTTAGGATACATTATAAAATGACTAAAAAAGAAAATTACAACTGAATGTCTTAAAAACAAATAAAAAGCCAACAAAAGGAATAAGAAAGAAAATCTACGTGGCATGTTATTTTTAAAAACAACACTTAAAACTATACAAAGGAAATGTGCTATAGGAAATATGTCAACAGAGATGAGGACATAATATCATAAAATGATTCTTTGAATAAAACAGGTTAATTGATTTTGTTTGTTTCTTATTAAATTTATAGTCTGCAAAGTACCAAGAGATAAGCCTGAAGCAAAACCAGTGAAAAGCTCCTTTATTATGGAGCCATCAGGGGACAGCTCAATAGCAACTAAATAATAAAAACTCCCAGTGCCTTTTACAGGTTGACAGTCACTGAGAGTTTTTCCCGGGGGGGGGGGGGGGGGGG